ATACGTTGCTAAATTAATATGCTATTTTGTTTTTCAATGTTATCAAATACGAATATTGGTATATTTTCAAATTAAATGAATATATTATTTTTGATGCCTTGTATTGATAATAGTTCCAGAATGTTTATTTTCTATGTAACTGAACGATGAACACTTTAGTTTCAGAGAAAAGATACGTAGTTGATAAATACCTTACTAAACTTAAAAAGATGAATCCTCCCATGAGGATTTGAAGAGTGTGGACTGGTGAGAGATGGCGTCGGTAAACTTCTGAAGATTTGGTAGGTGTTGATGAGATGTCCTTGAACGAGTGATAGCTTTCTAAACACGTGAATGTCTTCAAAAGTAATTCAAGATATCCAAAATAGTCGAACAGTGAGAGAACTGTCCGAAAAGGTCGAGACTGGCGATTAAACAGATGGCGAACTTTAGCGACCAGAAAATAGCAAACTCTCTGTCGTCATCGATCCCATTCTTTTATTTTGGGTGTCCTCCCTCTCGGCACTCTTGCCTATTTTGGAAAATTTTAAAGTGTGTCCAATAGCAATTTTTTTCGTTAGATTCCTCGTGACACACGTTTAGAAGAAGTGTCCTCTCTGCACAAGGAAGCAAATCCGTGGGAAAAGATATAATCATATCCTTTATGACTTTTCTTCTCTTTCGAAAAATTTTTGAAATTTTTGTCAAGTCCGGGCTCACAACTTCATAGTTTTCCTGTTAGCAATAGAGTCGTGCCGATTATCTGTCTAATTCTGTTAGTGGAAAATTTGAATTGATGTAACGTGACTTTCGGTGAAAACTGTAAGTTCCTATATAGTTAATTAATCTAGTCTCCTGCTTCTATGCATATCTGGTCTTGACTTTCGGCTATCTAACTCGTTTCTCGGGATTAACCTCCCATGTAGATTATACAGTTTGTTGCAAAAATATAAACTATATTATCACGTAAAGGTAATTATTATCGCATGTTTACTTTTTTTTATTCAAACAAATTGTGTGAAGTCTTTCGGTAGTTAAGGTTAACAATTTCGATTACGTGCGTGGCCATCACAACCTATCGAACACGGATCACTTTTCAATTATTAATGGTCGTTGGTCATTCTTTCTTCTAAAAGTCAACGACTACTTTTGGTCGAATGAGCTCTGACCCCCTTCTGCAATAGCCGCTTCTTTCTATCAGACTAGGCATTCAAATAGGAAAATTAAATAATACAAGGTTACCGGCAAACATAAAATATGTTTTATGTGATTTTCGAGAGTGCCGAGTTTAAATATTTGGTCCGTTTTTTTTTTTTGCCAAATTTGATTGGTTGGCATACTCTTATGTTAACAGTCTCTTAGAGTTAACATTAGAAAAAACATACGATATGTTAAAAAATTTAAGATATCGCATTTACAATTCATGTATGAAATTGTACCATATCGTACCATTTGAGTATCTCTGTAATGGTGACAATGGTAAGCTGAAACAACCAAACTCTTTATATGGTTTTCGTTTTAAAGTTATATTATAGTATTTGATTTACATTTACAAAGGTTATCGTACATAAAACTTTATCACGTCGAGTGACCGATCTAATACATTTAAAAAATTTATCTACTGTACACAATCGAAATTATTTTTTAAATGTGTTAGATTGGATATTGAATGCTATTTTGTAGCCATATTTTTACTTTATACAATCAGTTTTTTTACTAAAATAAATGCAAAGTAATAGAAATTGGATTACAAAACGAATATTTTCAACTAAAACTGATAATAGAAACAAATTCAATTGATTTTTATATATATTTAAAGATTTCAATGTTTTTTAAAATAACAGTTGAAAAATTTCACGTTGTTAAATGATAGCGAGGTTGACGCCGAAGTTTTAAACCTCAAACGTTTTCGTGTAAGCCTACAAGTTTGACAGTGGTGTTTGGAATGTCGAGCATGATACCACTGACTATCCAAACATCATTGTCAAACTTCTAGGCTTACAAGAAAGCGGCGCCGAACGTTCGACGTACACGTTTTGACGTTTAAAACTTCTGCCTCANCTATAAAACTACGAAAAAATATACGTATTTTGGAAATGTTGAGTCGGAATAGTGTAGAATCGATTAATTTTATGGAAGAAAACCTTTCAATCAGCCGTAGTCCATAAACTTGACACGTTCGGGCTGTGATTGGAAAGACTTGTAAGAAATCGGATTCCTAATAAATTGGAACGTATCTATATCTTATAGGGGGGTCGACTGTAATATATTAAAAGTTATTACTTTTTACTTGTTAGCAAAGTATAGGGGAGATCGGGGCAAGATCGGCATGTTAAGCTTTACTTAAATTTTGTGTAATAAATACTGCTGTAAACTGAAAAAAAAGTTTTGCATATTGTCTATTGGAATGTTACCTTACTATAGAACTGGTTAAAATCAGTTTGGAAATAAAAATAATTAAAATAATTACAACTTTACAAGAAGAGAGAAATTGACGAAGTTGCCCCGGGTATAGGGGCAAGATCGGCAACTTCTCTCTTTTTGTAAAGTTGTAATTATTTTAATTATTTTTATTAAAGTTGCCCCTGGTATAGGGGCAACAGTAATGGGGCAAGATAGGCACGTATATAAAATTATGTTATTAACAATGTATAAGTTGGAATTCACTATTAAAACAAAGAAATACAAATCCAACACCCATTTAATATTATTACAACGAAATGCAAGTTCAAAGACATATATACATGAATAACAAATGCAAACATGTTTTCATTTATCATCTGTTTGATTTTTATCCTTTGCTTCTAATGTGGCTTTATGTTGCCGATCTTACCCCGCTAGTCATGATTTCGAAACATTAAGTACAACCCTGAGAACAGAATGCCAAGCCACGATCTGGCCACGTGAATAAGTTGAAGTTACATCCTTCTAACAGGAAAAGTAACTTTCGTTATCATGGAATTATAACAAAACCTGCCAATTCAATATAAATGGAAAAAAAATATTATATGGAATTGAACGAAAATGAAAATTTGCTTGATAATTCAACTACGCTTGTTGGAGAACAATAAAAACACTACACTCAACAAGCCACCAATAAAACTCAACTGCCTAACCTATAACCAAAGTCTCCTTTTAATTTGTTTTTAAAAAAAAGCGCTTGACAAACTTGCCCCGCATGCCGAAGTTGCCCCGATCTCCCCTAAGTATACCACAAATTTTGTGATTTTTCAAAATTTATTTAAATTTTTATTAGAAAACAGTTTTATATGTTTTAAGACAATAACAAAAGTACATTTTCTGAAATTACATAAAATTAATTTTTAAATATATTTTAAACATTTAATATTTGGTTTCACCCCCTTTGGCTACAATTACTGTACTTGAAAAATTCTTATAGGCATGGAGTTTATTACTTTTTTAATTGTTCATTCTTAATTTTATCCCATGTATCCATTATTGCAATTTTCAATTGATTTACAAATTCATATTCTTTCTCACTTTGATAAACAATTCCTGCTAAAATCCCCCATAAATTTTCAATTGGATTTAAATCTGGACTACATGAAGGCCAGTCACTATTACATTAATATTTTCTTTTTTAAAGCAATTTTTGTTGACATTGAGACACGAATGGGAGCATTATCTTGTTGAAACTATCATTTATGACTTCCAATTAAACCACCAAATGCAATCATATCTTTGTCAATAAATACTAAATTAGTTTTACTTTCCAATCCATCCTATTTACTTACAAAACTACCCCAAATCATTACAGACCCAGCCCCTTGTTGCTAAGACTGATCAATTTATCAATATCCATATTGAAAAAACCAAAACACTCGAAATTCAACGTCAGAACGCACGAAAAAATCAAACTCGTTTGAACGCTCGANAGATTTCAATGTTTTTTAAAATAACAGTTGAAAAATTTCACGTTGTTAAATGATAGCGAGGTTGACGCCGAAGTTTTAAACCTCAAACGTTTTCGTGTAAGCCTACAAGTTTGACAGTGGTGTTTGGAATGTCGAGCATGATACCACTGACTATCCAAACATCATTGTCAAACTTCTAGGCTTACAAGAAAGCGGCGCCGAACGTTCGACGTACACGTTTTGACGTTTAAAACTTCTGCCTCAACCTCGCTATTAAATTATCACTTATTCGTAGTGATTTAGAAGGTATAGAGCGAAATGTTAATTATTTTAACACTTATTTTCTATTTTGAACTTTGTTGTTTTCAAGGTTTTTGGCAAGGCTTATTTCACACAGGCCGAAATTCTTCAATTTATTTAGTTTTTCTTTTGTTTAAACTGGTAGTAAATTGCCTTAATTTATATGACGTAAAATCTCACAAGTAACTAACACAGAGAGTTCTATGAATTTTTACTGCCGCAAGTCCGTATGTCCGTCTTTTTTTAACTCGTAAACGAAGTTAGATACATGAAAGACGAGAGCAAATATCTTATTTTATAAAGCTTCAGTTCTCGATCAAAATTCCATCAAATTAATTTATTTTAGTGCTCAAATCTCGAAAAAATTTCAATATAATACAGAAATATTACAAGCCGAAAAATTTCATTAATTTTCTTACACGTTTATAAAATTTCAAGTAAATTTTTACGGTAACAGAAAGCAATTTATGCATTTGAATACATTAATGTTAACAAAACTGCTAATGACTCTTAATGGATGATGCCCATTAGAGAAATGTATTAATGGAGTTACGTTGATAAATCCATTATCAAGATAAACATCTAATAAATGTGATTTGACTGTAAATTATTTCAAATAATGAAATGGTGAATGACACTAATGCATAATGAAGATTATACAATAAATATATTAAAATTTTTTCTTAAACACAGAAAATTTTATACATAATAGTTTTAAAAAACTATAAGCTAATTCGAAAATATTCGAAAAACGTGTTAGCTGTACTAAGCGTTCGATTTACAATTTGTTACGTTATTTGATTTATTTTTCTTGAGAAAAATCTTTTAACAAGACTGAAAACGTTAGAAAGTTTTTCTAATAAACTTTGACTGCAAGAAAAAATGTTTTAGTAAGTGTTTTGACATAATAGTTATAAGCACCTAATTGCACCAAATATTATTCGGACTCACCTTTTACCTNTCTTCTTAAATCATGCCAATAATATGAAACCCCATCAGGGCAATATAAATTAAACTTCTCATCATTAAACATTATTTCTTTCCATTCTTCAGCCCATCCCATCTTGTCTTTAGTCCAATTTAAATGCATTGATATGTGTTTGGCAGTTAAAGGTGGTTTCAACTTTTTTTTAAATATTTTACATTGGCGAACTTTAAAAAACAATGACAAACAGTTGCATGAGACATCTATTAGTAATTCAGCAGCAGCTTGCCTTGTTGACATGTTTTTTTAGTTATAAGCTTTAAAACTTCTCTCTCATTCCTGGATGTTAAACATGATATATGTTGAATATATAAAAAAATGAATATATTTGTGACAAAAAAATTTATCCTACTTTATGAAATGTAAAAAACCTGATAAAATAATTAAAATAATGATAAAAAATATTAATATTTCCAGTAATAGCGGAAAAATAAATTTTTAAAAACAGAATTTATGGTGTTCTTATACTTCGGTAACAGACTGCAAAACCAACCCTATTTTTAGAAGTATAAAATAGNATTTGTTACGTTATTTGATTTATTTTTCTTGAGAAAAATCTTTTAACAAGACTGAAAACGTTAGAAAGTTTTTCTAATAAACTTTGACTGCAAGAAAAAATGTTTTAGTAAGTGTTTTGACATAATAGTTATAAGCACCTAATTGCACCAAATATTATTCGGACTCACCTTTTACCTTCAAAAATACAAAAGTCTTTTACACGTCTGTAGAAACAGGACAGGTTTTTGAAAATGATGCACTTTTTGTAGTATCAAATTGCATTAGTTTTAATATTGTGCATAAGAGGAATTGCATATGGATTTTTTTTCTATCAGGAATTATATTGTTCGTCACTGAAAAAAAAATTAGAAAATCTTCTGAATGAACTCTTTCTAATAGATAAAACTAACAAATTTTTAAACGATCACAGCAGTTTTCGATGTAATTGTAAACTTTACGAGTAAAATTTAATTGTTTCCCAAATATATATAAATAGAACACCAGTGAGTTATAAAGATACACGTACTGTACATAAATAAGAAAATAACATACAGCAAAAGAATATATCTCATGAGTAACTATGCTACAAAGTTGCAGACATGAATTCGAATTTCCAAGACACAATTTGCATGAGCTGTTTTATAGCACCTTGCTGCATGATATCTCTCGTTTTCGGGGTAGAGCCGTTTTACTTATGTAACAGTAAAACGGACATTGCCATTTTACAAAAATCTCAACTGAGAAATACTTATACTAAATGTATAAGAATCATTTTGTGTGTAAATTCTTGCTTGCTTTTGTTGCATGCAACACCGATTGGCAGTAATTATTTAATTTGTAAAGGATAGTTTGATGACGTTAGTACTGAAGATTCGACATTGAATGCTGTTTTTGGACTTATATTTTTAGCTTATTCAATGTGTCTCAGTTTTTTCCGAAACAACAAATTGAAATTAATAGAAACTGGATTAAAGAACGAATATTTTCGACAGAAAATGATAAACGAAAATAATTCCACAATGAGAAAACTCTCTGTATTTGTTACTTTCTTTGCAATGATTATTGTTTTTGGTTTCCAACTTGCTACTGTATTTCTCCTTTACCCGTCTATGGAAAGAAGACAGTATTTTAACGGCGAAGCACTTTTGTATACTATTCTTATTGATTTAGTTGTAATATTGTGTATGGGTGGAACTGCATGTTCATTGTTGTTATCAGCGATTGTATTTTTCGTTACTGAGAGGAATTCGACCATCTGCTGAATGAACTCTTTCTAATAACGAAAACTAACAGATTTATAGAAATAAAATTAATTAAATATATGCGTCAACACCGCATACAATGATCCCATATTGAGCAAGAAAAAACGTGAAGAAAACAACAATATTACAAAGTTCACATTTAATAAATGTCTATTTTCTGTTATAAAGGAAATTGCGAACTACAAAATCAATAATATTCTATACAAAAGAGCTCCCACCGTATATACATTACTCAGAAATGACAAAGATAGGATCAAAGAGAGCGAACAGCCAGGAGTTAACGCAATACCACACAATAATGACCAATTAGTAATAGACAAAATGTATATAGGCGTCACGACTAGAAACTTGAACAAAAGGATTAGGGAACATAACTACAACGTAGCAAAAAGTCGATACACTAGAGCCTTAGCAAAAATAGCGCAGACAGATGGATCCGTGGTTGAATAAGAGGAAGCCAGGATCATTGCAACCGTACACTCGCCAACGCTTGCATCAACAGTGGAAAAATGTGAAACATACAGGTCTAGCTTGACGNTCGACCCTCGTGTATTAATCGACCCCTGGAGAACTCTTATCGACCCGAGGGGTCGATATCGACCACTTTGGGGACCCGTAATCTAAACCTTTAACAACATAACATCTGTATTGTTAATGAAAAAAGGTCTCACGAGCTCTACATGGACGACACGCAAACCTCGTGTTATAATGCTCCAAAATCCTCTATAATGCTCCTAATTGTCACTAAAAATTTCATTTTTAGTGACAATTAGAAAATTCTATTGTTTTATAATCGCCAAAAATATGTAATCTGTTTCTTAAAGACTTTAAGAGTTAAGAATCGCAAAAATCTAAAAAAACAACGAAACGTTAACTTCATACGTAATCTTGCTGCTTATAATTGAAAATACGTTATAAAATTTGAAAAGTACGAAATTATACAAATTACAGTTAGAACCTTTCGAATTAACAAAGTAAAATTAACTGTCAACTCTACTTTCACAAAAAGTACAAAACTATTGCAACTCCTCTGTTAAATAAAAAGCCTTTTTAAAGGCCTTTAATGGTATCAGTCACGACTGCAATACAAAAGAACAAAACAAAATATAGTAAATAAATCTCGTGAATAAACTTGACAAGTATAGTTTAATCATTTTACAGCTTAATTATGCAACACATACAATTTTATGCTATTATATGAGACGTAAGAAAAGTACCGCTATTATATACATTTACAATTTTGATTAACTTATGCCAGTAATTGCAGAAAATGGAAATATTTTAACATAAATTTCGCATAATATCAATGCATTTATATATATATTCATAAATATTTATTAGTAGTTATTATCTTCTTTCTGAAAGTAAATATTCGAATATTTTACTTTCAAAAATACGTCCATTAATGTAGTTTGTAATGCCACTCCTTCATAAAACACTGATGATTATAACCATTTAATAGACATTATGCAATATAAAACTGGTTACAGGAGTAATAATTAAATAATAAATCGATAATCTACCTAAACAAGTCAGAGAATATTTGCTTGAATGCCAGTATCTAAATACGTTAAAAATTAAACAAGTTTTGTGCCATTAATTCTACAATGAGTACAGACAATGCGGACTAAAGAATGACAAGATTTCTAGTTTGATTTTACGTCCTTGTGAATTATTTCTTTAAAAAAGATCCAAAGAGAAAAAAAGACTCAAACATTGTTTGTATTACCTTAAATTTAAATAATGAAAATAAATAACTAAATTAAAGTAATCCTGAGCTAATATGTCGAATCTTAATGGATTACGTCCATTAGAGTAATGTACTAATGGAGTTACGTTGATAAATCCATTATCAACGTAAACATCTCATAAATGCCATTTCGATGTAACATTTAATTGTTTCCAGAGAATACACTAAGAAAACACTAGTGATGTGAAAAGATACACGTGCACAAATAAGAAAATAACATACAGCAAAAGTATATATTTCATGAGTAACTGTGCTACAAAGTTGCAGACATGAATTCGAATTTCCAAGACACAATTTGCATGAGCTGTTTTATAGCACCTTGCTGCATGATATCTCTCATTTTCGGGGTAGAGCCGTTTTACTTATGTAACTGTAAAAAGGACATTGCCATTTTACAAAAACCTCAACTGAGAAATACTTATACTAAATGTATATCAATCATTTTGTGGGTACATTCTTGTTTGCTCTTGTTGCATGCTACACCGATTACCAGTGATTATGTTATTTGTAAAGGATGGTTTGATGACGTCACTACTGAAGATTCGATATTGAATACTGTTTTTGGACTTATATTTTTAGCTTATTCAATCTGCCTCAGTTTTTCCAGTAACACCAAACTGAAATTAATAAAAACTGGATTAAAGAACGAATATTTTCGACAGAAAATGATAAACGAAAATAATTCCACAATGAGAAAACTATCTCTATTTGTTACTCTCTTTGCAATGATAATTGCTGTTGGTTACCACCTGCCAACGGCATTTATCTTTTATCCGTCTATGGAAAAAAGGCAATATTTTGAAGGCGAAGCACTTTTGTGTACTATTCATATTGATTTAGTTTTAATATTTTTTATAGGAGGAACTGCATGTACATTGTTGTTATCAGCGATTGTATTGTTCGTTGTTCACAAGGAATTCGAACATCTGCTGAATGAACTCTTTCTAATAAAGAAAACTAATAAATTCGTGGAAAATAAATTAATCGAATGTATGCGTCATCACGAAGAATTATGGACATTTGTCAATCAGTTGAACACAAAGTTCAATTTTGTGCTCTGCACACTTTATTTCGGTGTCATCTGGACCACAAGTTTCTATTTTTACGGATATTTATTCATAAAAATGCATGATTTAATGCAATACCTGTTCATAGGAATTTCTATTGTCTGTACATTAATCTGTATATATTTTAGCTGTTTATTGTGCTGTTTTGCATTCACGGTAAATCTTTATTCGTGTTTTATCTATTTAATTTGTACTCTTAGTTTAGATTATCTACTTTATAAATATTATTTCTTTGTTATATTATTATATATTACTAAGATAATTTTAAGTATCAATTTTGGTTTTTTCCTGTTTTTTCAGATGCAGAATGCATTTCAAGATATCCGTCAATTTGCTGTATCCAAATTAAAAATGGAACAGAAGCTAAAGGTATTATTTGTATTATTTTTTCAGTTTCTTAAAATGAAGTAAATGTCAGAGATATTTAACATTTTTATATTATATTAGTAATATTTTCGAAATTTATAATGATGAATTTCGTTGTGTCCCCTTTTAACTTATATAGATTATGATGTTTTATAACTCCTGCTGAATAGAGAAGTCTTAATTTGTGAAGATAGTATTACTTTATGTTTTTATGTATAGAACTAAAATCTACTGTTATAAAATATTACCTTACATTTAGTCTCAATGTTTTTACTTTTGTTTGCGTATATTTTCCACAGATTCTTGATTTCATGAAAAGATTCGGGAAGGTTTCATTGTGTTTTACGATGGGTGGATTCTTAGTCGTCGATAAGAAAATCCCTTTTAAGGTTGCTATTTTTGTGTTCTTCTAGATAATACATAAATTTTACCAATTTTAATGACGCATGATTTCAGTTGTAATTACAAAAATTTGTTTTTGTTTTAGGTCGCAAAAACGTTGCATTCTGTTTTTTCGGGACTTTTAAAATTAAGAAACGTATCGAATGCGAAAATACACTGCGACAGCAATTTCACCATTAATTATACTTCTTATAATTGAAAATGTAGAATTTCAAATGTACGAAATAATTATAAACGGAAAGATTCAGTGTCTTATAATCAATGTGAAAAGAGTAATTTTACCGCAATCGATATTACGTTAAAGTAATTTTCTGTAATTTTATAGAGTAGCTCATAGTAAAGTACATAGATTAAATTGTAATGTTAGCATATACTCTGTCGCATGAAATATAATATGCATGTGTAGAATTCATAGAATTGATAAGCATTGTTTATATTATTCATTTTGAACAGTACATAGTTATAAAATTCCTATATTTCTATTAAAACATGTTCTTTATAAATACAAATTTTTGTTCGTATTGTAGATATGTACAATAGAGCGTCGTTTATCCGAAACGTCGGTTAACCGAAAGCATTCCACTCGCCAAATTTAAATTTTTGCTAGTGCTGTGGCGCTGCAATCTTTGGCTATATTTTGTGCTATCTAATATTTTATTTGTTGGTGTGTTTGTTTTAGCTGACAGCACACTCACTTTTGTGTAGTGTTTTTCTGAAGACTGTGTGACCTGCTGAATCGAACGTTTTTGATAGTAGATTAAATTCTAAAGTATAATATTTTTTTGTTTTTATATTTTTCAACACATTTATTTTGTTTGTACTCGCTCTACTGTAAATATGTTAAATCTTATAGAATCGTCTCTCACCTAATTTGAAAATATATCATTGACTTAATTTTTTAACAAATTATTATTATTATTTATTTGAAAAAAGGTTTTAAACTTTTAAATATTTGTTTGTTTAGTCAGTTAATATTATTGTATATTATTTTTATTACTGGCATCTTGTATTAATAGAAAAGTATTTGTAATATCAATTAAATAATTATATTTAAATAATTCTGCTTCTGCACGTGCAAAAAGTAAGCGTAACAATTAATATGTCCAATATCTTAAAAATATCTAGCAATGAAATGAGGTTTATTCGAACATGCGTACCATTTCATGCGAACATGCGATGCCATTTTGCCGCATGCGTATGTCATTTTTCAATGCGAAGAATAATGTGCAGTGCATGCCGGCTCAGTTAGCTATTAGGGAGAATTGGAAAGGAGTAACGTAAGTAACCTAGATGACTCAGCTGTATTGGACATTGGAGGTGTATATGAATACGAATGATTCGTACAAGCAAAAATAAGGTCAACAGGTTGTGCACAAAATCCCGGACTGTCCGGATGATGACATTTTTTGTGCTCATTTCAATCCGTCCGAATCGTAGGTGCGACGAAAATATGTGATGAAATGGTTCAAGTTCTTACAAAATATTATTATTATTTATTGAGAAATTTTGCCGCCCCCTAAAACGTAATTTTTCCTCCCTTCAAAAAGTGCGCCCGGGGCGGGCAGCCCCCGCCTCCCCCACTAAGCTACGCCACTGCGCTGGGGTCGATAAGACAAAAAGAACGGGTTAGTGCGGTGATTTCTAATTGCCGTGAATGAATCAAAAGACGAGATAAGATTAACGAGAACATTTATTAGCTCACATACATCCGACTTGGATTTTACACGAAATGCATCTGCTATCGTGAACATATATTAGATATAGAATTTACGATATAAAATATACATTTATCAGATAATAAACAAAGACTCAGTTTGTAAACAATTTACCTTTTGTATATACAACTGACAAGGTTATCTTTCAAATTATAAACAGCGTCCATCCCGTGCAATCTTTCGATGGTCGGACATACAAAAAATGAACAGATAGCGCCTTACTCAAGCGCGGTTTATAATAACGAATATGATAAATCTTAACAGTTAGTCTTGACTGGACCTTCGTGGGAGTAAGACGTGAAGAGAAGAGCGCTCCAGATCGCGAGTAGGCGACTAGGGGTTACTTGACACTGAATAATACCAAACTAAGGACATTTTGGTTACGTTAGAAAAATAGAAAACTCCAGAGTCAACGTTGGACGGAAGTCTTGATTTTAAAGAAAGGGAACAAAAATCACGTCTGTATGTATCTGCAGAATTCGAAGGGGTGCCCATCCAGTGTTCATGAAATAAAGAGAATCCCGGGTATTTTGATCTTTTCCTTTTTCTATCTACCTTCTCATATAATCTTCTACCATCTTTGGTTATAAGTTAGTGAGGAAGAATTAGTTCTAAGTTTCTGTACGCGTACTATTGTCGCGAAATTATTGTACTGTATATTAAATGTCCGACTACTTTTTAATACTATAATATTCGTGGAGTGGGATCTAATAAGAACCTGCTTCACGAGCGACAAATAAAATACTTCGTGATTTAAGAACCTTGCTAAGTATTCTTTGTGTTAGTCAATTCGGTCGTCCATACACGTGCCGCTCACGAACATCACATTAGCATTAATTAAAATTGCGTTCAACTGACATTTAAACAAAATTAAGCTGTGTTATGCAACTTGAAAACCAGCTTTTTAATATATTTTGATCGAGTATGTATTGTATTTTTTCTCTCTTAGTAAAGGTTTCCGAGTGACAATATTTTTGGATGTAGAATTGATTTTAGATAATTGCAGTTTACGTTAGTATCGTAGAAAAGTCATCCGAATCGTCATCATCAGAACTACTTCAACACGCGACGGAAGAAAACCTATTTAATAAAAGTTCTTCAGACGAAGCCCATGAAGATGAACAGCAGCATGCACAAGAAGATTTAACTATTTCTGTAATGTCATATGTAGTTCAAAATACTACAGAAGAGGTTATACCAGACATACCATCACCGTCACCTCAAAATACAGATTATGATATTTCAAAATGGTAGCTCGTTGATCCTGCAACCAGAGATGAAATAATTATTCGAGGTCCTGTAAGTAACGAAATGAACAACGAAAAATATCCAAGAAAAATAATGGGCATCATTTTTCAAATACGCATTTTCAAATGGTAATGCCAAATGGAGAAACTTATAAAAGAAGATGGCTCGTTTACTCTAAATCTGCAGATAAAGTATATTGTTTTTGCTGTTGTTTATTTAACAGATGTTCCCACTCTAATTTAAGAAAAGAAGGAGTTGACGACTGGAGACATATCTCAGGTGTCTCAAAACTCACGACATTTCCTCAGATCATCAGCGCGCCATGCACATTTGGATAGAAGCGTCGAATCGATTAAACCACTTCAGTGGAATTGTCAAGCATTTGCAAAAACAGATTGAAGACGAGAAATCACGATGAGTTTCTATCCTCGAACGAATGATGTTCATAGTATTCTTTTTAGCAGGCAATAATTTGTCGTTCAGAGGAAGCTCTGGATGTGAAACACTATATACTCTTAATAATGTTAAGAGGTTTGGGTTTAGTGCATCTGCTAGGAAAATTTGATTCTGTGATGTTGGAGCACCTCCGCCGTATTGTTAATAAACTATGTCCACTATTTTGGCAAACGTATTCAAAACGAGTTGATCGGCTTACTTGGAAGTGAAATTCGAAATAAAATTTTGAATAGGGTAAATTCATCTAAATATTTTTCCATCATATTTGGTTGCACCCCTGATGTGAGTCACGTCGAACAGTTATCTTTAACTTTGCGTTTTGTTGACATTAATGAAAGTAAAGTGCAAGTGCGAGAGTGTTTCCTTGCTTACAAGCCGGTAAGTGACACTTCCGGAGCTGGACTCACTGGTCTCTTTCTTGATGATATTGTGCAAGAGTTCGAGTTGGATATGAACGAATGTCGAGGCCAAGGATATGATAATAGATCACGTATGGTAGTAATAAACAAAGGTGTCCAAAGCAAAATTCTGAACCAATATCCACGAGCATTTTTTAATCCATGTGGTTGTCATTGCTTAAATTTGGTAACAGCAGATGCCACCAAAACATTTGTTAAATCGGTTTCTTCGGATTTCTTCAAAGACTGTTTGTTCTATTTTCTGCATTAACAAAGCGATGGGAAGTGATATCCAAGCACATAGGACTATCGCTGAAAAAAGTTTGTGAAAGTCGTTCGGAGAGTAGAGTTTCTAACCTCGCTGCAATTCGTTATCACTACACTTCAGTTCGTGACGTCCTTCTGGATCTTCACGAAGAAACGAATGACCCAGTTGCAGCATCAGAGGCCTTGTTCTTGATTCAGATCATGGAGCAATTTGAGATTATAGTAACAATAGTGTCTTGGTATGATAAATTAAAATTTATCATACCAAATTTAATGACACAGTCCTTTTTATACAACATCAAAACAATTCAGGAAAGGTCAATATTGGAAAAAGCCTGTGCAAATTTAGAAATACGTTTAACCGATGGAGAAAAATGTGACATATCTGCTTGTGAATTGGTTGAGGAACTTTTACACCCGAATCCATTGTTGAAAGAGCTTGAATTATCAGAACCAATAAAAGTTCTACAACTAATTAAACAAAATGATTGGCAGGATATATTCCCGAATGTGTAAACAGCACTTCGAATTTTGCTAACCGTACCTGTAACTGTTGCTAAAAGAGAACGAAGTTTCAGTAAATTAAAACTTATTTACGTTCAACAATGTGTCAGAATAGACTGTCAGATCTAGCAATTTTATCTATCAAAAATATTATCGTTCCGGAATTAAATTATTCTGAATTAATAACAACGTTTGCAAGCGCAGAAGCGAGGAAGGTGGTTTATTTTAAAGTGAAAAAGTTTATTTTATTTTATTTTTCTTAATTTGTTTCAATTTTAAATTAATTTACGATGTAAATTTGTCTTTTGCGTGATGTGATCGTTGTCTGTGCCGTAACAGTTTAAATAAATATTGTTATAAATATTGCCTAGTAAAAGAAATATTGTTTTTTTCACTGTTATTGTTCCTCATTCATACTAGTACTATTCTATAGATTTTACACAAGAGTGAGCTGAGTTGTGAGAATATAAAACATGATCCTGAAATGTGTGCTATTTCTCAATAACCTAAAATCAAGAGATTCCTACGAGGAAAAGGAGGGGAGAGAAAAAAACGTCAACAGCTTGCGATATGTCTGAATTAACAA